TCAACGGCTGGGAAATGAAAGCGAAGTAAATATAAGTAAAATAAACAAGTGCATTGCACAACGAAATGTACTAAATAATAAATAATAATAAATAATAAATAATAATAATATTGTAAAATAAAACTAACATTGACTTCAAAAAAAATTTTAATCATAATTTTGATATTTCAATATTCCTTGCTAGTTTATGATCAACCCCATTTACTAGTAAGATCCCTAAAAATACTTTTAAAAAAAGAAACGATCTATGGTCTGGTTTTTATAACATTCCACAGAACTGCAAACCCTTCACAAATATTTTCTCAGAGTGCAGGCAAACACAGCACATGTCGTCAAAAGGTGGGACCAGCAGTTTAGAGCCACGTTGCATTTTTTTGCAAAACAACAAACAATTTGGTAATTACTTCAAATTAAGCACGCAAATGCGAATGCAAGAGTAATGGTGAACCGAAGTCGCCTCACGACAAATGCACAAAACTTTCACTCGCTCACAACTTTGGCGAGGTCTGCCAAAATCCGGCAAATGACAGCGGCAAGGATAACGACAACGCGCCGAGTAACATTTCGTGGTGGACACTCGCGTGGTATCGCAACTCGCACGTCAGATAGTTTGGTGGCGACCCTCGCTGGGCGCAGTCCGTCCGTTCAGTTGAAAGCCCGATTCACGACTGAACGGGCGGACGACTTCATTGGTGGAACGGCCCCTGCCATAATGGCCCAAACGACGATGCCAATTCGTGTCCCCATCGCTTCGGCTTTCGGCCACCATTCGGTTTTTCGAAGTTCATCCGCAGAGAGAATGAATGAACTCTCGGCCTTCTGAGAGTTTTCGACTGGAAAGTCTGACGGGAAGTTTCACTGCCATAAGTTGTGGTCCCATCTCTTAAGCTGCTTCCTCTGGGGATGATTATCCGGCCAACCGACAAGTCAGTGATAATATCCCTATTAATGAAATAATAGAAATTAGGTTCACTAATAAATGAACTCAACGTTCTTTAATTATACATTAAACAGTCAATTTAATTTATTACTAAATGTTAGAAATATGACTTTTTTAAGCGAATGTCCCAATCGCAGTTGGTGCTAAAAATGTATTAGTAATTCCTAAAGGGTTAACACTTTAGTCCTCTTCATAATTATCAATATTACAACAAGAAAAAACCTCAGTCGACGGCCTCGATTATTATCAGCTAATTTAAGTGCGAGGGAGATGGAGTTATGCATGCAGCAAATCGGCTGTTTGCTAATATCTTTTTAATGAATGGAATGTATTGATAATTAGAACAAAATCCCAATTACACTCTTACAAAATACTAAAAAGAACCAGCATGCCAAATCGGAACTAGCTTCTAGCTTTTATAGAAACCGAGATCTTAGCCTCATAAGGACGTACAGACATACGAAAATGGCTATTTCGACTCGACTAGTGATCCTAATCAAGAATATTTATACTTTATAAAGTCGGAAACGCTTTCTTCCACCTATAACATACTTCCCGACAAATCTAGTATAGCCTTTTACTCTGCTCTTCGAGTAAAGGGTATAATGAGGCAACAAATATAAATATATTTTTGACCTTATGAAATATATTCTGTTACATTTTAATGAGCCCTAAACAGCTGAATGACCTGTGAGCCCGAACTTAAACCGACCACAACAGTATTAAAAACAACAACTGCTAATATAGAACTGTAGTCCGATCCTGTTCCACGCCACGCATAACTTTCACAGCCAAATTAACACGCATTTTCAAAAGAACAACCGAATAAATTGGCTTATCTGGTGAAACACACTAAAATGTCGGACCACTCTTTTGGACTCCATCCCCTTATCCGATGTCAAAAGCAGCTACCACAAAACTGAAAACTGGCAAAAACCGACTGCTAACCACAATAAAAAATATTCCACATACGCAGCGTTGGCTGCTGGCATCATTTAGATAAACATAACTCGGAAACTTAAAACCAAGTCGGGGGCAGATCGGAAAGGACCGGTCATCTGACCAAACGCATACACGTAAAGAGCCGAATTCCCAGCCAAGTAGTTTTAGCCATGAATAAAATAAACAACAACAACTGGATACAAACGAAAAGTAAAATAACTAATATGCTATTGTCCCAGAGCTCTCAAAATTTTCAAGTGGTTAGACTGGTTAGAGTTAAAGCTAGACCATCAGCTTTATCAGAAGCTGACACGAATTCCCCTTGACCATCACTACGAACTGGAACATTAACAAAAGTGGGGCTTTTACGAATAGCAGTGGTTCGGTACAACTGAAAAAGGAAAAAGGATAATCCGATGATGACGACCTGCAAAGTTGAAAAACGGCTCATCACTCATCGCGTTCGTCAAATGGGCCTGCCAGTGACTATATCACTTCAGGAAAAGGGTTACATCTATGAATATTTAAGTATACTTCAAATTTAGATTTGAGTTCTAAGTTTTAACTTAGATATTTCTTATGGTAAACTTTAAGTAGCCTTAAGCCTATAAAACAAATACAAATTTGGACCAGAAATCGAACCTATATTTACCTTTTCTTATATGTAATTTAAATTGGATGATATTCATTCAAAACGGGATTTTACTTTTTAAAATTCAAATCTTGCGTATCTGGCATTGTATAAGATGATGTGAAATCGCTTATAATATTTGTGCTCTTGGGTATTTTGGGGCTGATTGGTATGCCACACACACAATATTCAATAGTTATGTACTTCATAACTGGATTTGATGGAAATGACATGGTATATTTTCATATAGTCCACAGGTCACAGACTATTTCTATACTGATAATAAGATACTGATATAAAATTCAGTTTTCTTTGTTACTTTAGTAAAAACATAAAGTCATATAGTTTAAGGAGGAAATTTAAGACTAATCCTGCGATTGAGTGAATAGCTTTCACTGCATGGATATTGTCTTAAAATCCACTCGAATCTCCTTTTCCTGGTAGCCGGTTATTGCCCCTTAGGGATCAGCTATTAGCTGAAATCCAAGAGCATTTTCTGCTTTCTGCTGGTGTCATGCTGGAAACGACACCCAAAAGTGTGGGCATTAAAGGAAAGTTTCTCTTTTTTTTGCTCCTGATGCAATTGCAGTAAATTGCCAACACAAAAAGTGGAGTTGGCGGAGGAAACAAAACCCTTCCCAATGGCGCACTGAATGGCTTTTTGGGACCATCTAGGGGCAATTGATTCCTCAGGGCGACTGCATGGGCGTGGCATGCTGCTACTTAAAGAGCATTAGCAACAATCAGCCGAAGGAAAAACAAGCTGATTGCATTGAGTGCGAAAATTGCTGCTGAAAATTGAAGAGATCAGCAAATATACCCAAATGACAAAAAGATGTTCAAAGTGGATAAAATGTTAAACGGTCAACTCCTTGATTTTTCTCTGTATAAGTATTGAAAAAATGCCAGGAACGGAACAGATAATGGTCTTAGATATAAGAGGCAAAATTATATCCTGAGATATTATTTCTTTTTTGTGTTCTGTCTGGGCACCCAAAACAAATTGTACACCCTTCCCACCAAAAAAAACTCTTCAACTCGAATAAAAATATTCTGCGTGGTCGTCAATCAAATTAATGAGTACTTAATAAATGCCATTACATTTTTATTACATTTCTACCGCAAGGCAAAGCAAATTTATGGTCAAGGTATTGTGGCTGGTCCATGGATGCGTATAGGTACATAAATTGAATAAATCGCTTAGCAGCTTTCAGACAGTTTGGGTGATATATTTGACAATTTCGCACAACTGGATCTAGACTAGCTGAATGTGTGGCCCTCGATTTTTGGAAATATTTGTGAATTGTAATCATTCTGTTACAAATCCAAGAGTTTTAAATTGATGTTGCTAATAAATAATATATCATAGATCTTCTGCTCACTCTACATAAATCTACAAGACGTACATTTCGTTATTGATAAATAATACTAATATCAGGATAGCTTCCAAGATAGCTTCTTATAAAATAGTAAAATTAAATAATTCAAATTATCTTTACACTTTGCGAGGCATTTGTCTACTTATTTATAAAACAGTCTGTTTTTATGTGAACTATATTCTTTGTCCTCGGCAGTAGGCCTCTGTTCTGCCTTTTCCCGGAGGTAATCCCCTTCAACTACCCCCAATTCGGTCATACAGCGCTATTGAAACCTTTGCCAATCTCCGCTAATCAAAGCTACCCAATATTGCCTCCCACAGGGCCGAATCAATTCGTGCAGGTAACAGGTAAGAGCGTTCAGGGCAAGGAGAATCCCACCAAATAGCTTTTCCATGGCGATTTTCAGGGCTCCAGCCGACGAGTTATGGCCGCTATTTCCGTTTGGTTTTCACAACTCAACGCGCCGACTTCCCGCTTTGCCTTTGCACCTCCAGGTGGTCCAGGGTCCAAAGACTGGGCCAAATCGGTAAGCGCAGCTTCCAGCGGGTTTCAATTTTATCGCCGCCAATTTACTGCTGTGCTGTGTGCTTGCTTTTTTTCGCGCTGTTTTTGTGTTGAACTGGCCCTTTCAAATTTTTTTAGCCTTGGCGAAGAAAGCAGTCGCTGTTGCATATTTTTCTTGCCACATTTTCCATTGTGCTGCCCCGGTGATTTACCTTTAGGTGATTAGTGTTGTACTATCGGGCTATACACCCACTGTGCCGGCATCGATTTACAACAATCTGCCGATACAATTTCCATTCCCTCATGGAGTAAGGAACTTACATACTCAAGCGGCATTATATTCGCATGGCCTGGCTTAAGTTATAGTTGCTACCATTGACAGCAATAATTATATTCAGAAGGTCTGTGTTAATAATATTAACAGATAATGTACTAACAGCATTCATTAGCTATATATATATAAACTGTGTAAAAGGAATCTCCTGTTTTATATACCCGTTGATTGTTATCTCCCTTGCTTGAGTAACGGGCAATTACAATTCAATGGCAAAGACAATAAAATTTACAATTGTTTTATTAAGATAGAAATATTATACATGTTGAGAATGATGAATGATGCCAGCGTGGTTTGTAGATTGTTCGGATGTGAAGTCGATGACAAACAAGAACGAATCTGAAGAGTCCGATGAACAGGATGTACCAATTGGACACTAGAGACTGCTGCCCAGGAATTCATCGATACAGAAGTCGAGTAACTAAAAATAATTAATTGTACTTTGAATTAAATAGTTTTACTGTATTATCCACAAGATAAGAAAGGAGCAGCGAGAAATGCAGCTCCGATTTTATCAAAATATTTTCAATGCGACTTCGCCTCATACCCGACAAAATTTCAGCATCGAGCCATGTCATAAATTGAATACTCCACGAGACTTTATTCTTCACCTACTGGACTGCATTACGACCTAGCCCGGTCACTATCCACCAGAGAAGATAGGATCAGTTGCTTGGAGCGAGAGAAGCAGCCTCTGATTGTCCTGCATCAGGAAGTTGATCGTATCACCCCCGGTGGACGACGACGAAGCTTCTTAACTCCGATGTTATAAATCTCGCCAAGTATTCCAAAAATCCAGGTCTCCAGAAATCCAAAAAAATCGTTAGGTGGTAGGTCATAAATCATCACGGCACCGTCACTTGGGGATCTTAACTTTATCCCTGGCAGAATATTACTTATTGAACTGTTACAAAAATCATACCGGAAGTTCTCGCTGTTCTTGAACTGTCACAGATATCTTGTAACGAGAGGTACTTGCTGTTGACCCCCGATCCTCCAGACTGCATTACGACCTAGCCCGGTCACTATCCACCAGAGAAGATACGATCAGTTGCTTGGGGCGAGAGAAGCAGCTCCTGATTGTCCTGCATCAGGCAGTTGATCGTATCACCCCTAGTGGACGACGACGACGAAGCTGCTCAACTCCGATGGTATTAATCTCGCCAAGTATTGTCAAAAGTGCAGGTCTCCAGAATTCGAAAAAGCATTTTTGGTTAGCAGCTCAAACTATCACGTCACGTCCTGGGGAACATCGCCTTATCCTTGGCGGCATTTTACTTCTTAAACTGTTACAGAATCCATACCGGAAGTTCTCTCTGTTCTTAAACCATCACAGATATCTTGGAAAAAGAGGTACTTGCAGTTGACCCTCGATCCTCCGGACTGCATTACGACCTAGCCCGGTCACTTTCCACCAGAGAAGATACGATCAGTTGCTTGGGGCGAGAGAGCAGCTCCTGATTGTCCTGCATCGGGCAGTTGATCGTATCACCCTCGGTGGACGACGACGAAGCTGCTCAACTCCGATAGTATAAGTGTCGTGAAGTATTGCCAAAACTCCAGGTCTCTTCAGAAATCGATAAAGCATCTTTAGTTGGCAGCTCATAAATCCATCATCTCTTGGGAACTTGGCTTAATCCCTGGCAGAATCTTACTTCTTGAACTGTTACAGAAATCATACGGGTAGTTCTCGTTGTTCTTGAACTGTCACAGAAATCTTGAACGAGTGGTACTTGCTGTTGACCACCGATCCTCTGGACTGCATTACGACCTAGCCCAGTCACTATCCACCAGAGAAGATACGATCAGTTGGGGCGAGAGAAGCAGCTCCTGATTGTCCTGCATCAGGCAGTTGATCGAATCACCCCAGCAGTCTGATCTCAATCTCACCGCGGCTGTGAAACTAGCCAGTGATATACGACAGGTCGCACTACAATTACAAGCACTTTGTACGCAAGGCCCACCCTTCGAAATATCAAATAATTTACGTCTCAGGAAAATTTTTAAGAAAACTTGGTACTTGATAACTTAATATTTTGTGGAGATTGTGCCCCTAGGAAATCCCAGAGTGAACTGAAAGTATACCTCCTCTAAGTTTGTATCGAGAAAATTTTGACAGTCATGGACTGCTAGATTGCCTTTTTTTTCAAATAATAGTTTTGTACGATGGGTGATACCCAGACGGGAAGCCCTCAAATATATTATACAAAAAATTAAATATTAAAGTTTTATAATTGCTCTTTAATTTATATTTAAATTACGCAACCAAGTTAACAACATGTAATAATTTACTCCTCCAATGTAATGCTTTATGGACTTTCACAGAAAAACAAAAAAATTTCGTTTCGATATTTCCTTGGCACCATTCGGCAGTCGTTATAGAATTTTCTTTTTCGATTTCTGCCCATACGTTATATTGAAAATTGGACACTGCTGTTGCTGCCGTTTCTTTTTAAGAATAGCTTTATTTGCTGGAGAAAGAAAAGTTTGAAGTGGCTTGGTGATTTTGAATTAACGTTATTGGGGCTGAAAACCATTTCTTACGTCCGTATCTACCAAGTACATTGTCAGTGTAAAATGTGAATGTAAGATGTAATTTATTTTTTTAAGTCCGATTTCCAGCGATCCCAGAAACAACAATTATACCCGGCACTCGTAGAGTAAAAAGGTATTCTGGATTCTGCGTAAGGTATTTAACAGGTAAAATGAATATTGTTCTTGGTCAGGATCACTAGCCGAGTCGATAGAGCCATGTCCGTCTGTTCGTCCGTCCGTATGAACGCTGAGATCTCGGAAACTATAAAATCCAGAAAGTTGGTATTGGGAATGCATTTTCTTGAGGTTCTGAGACAGCGCTAGTTTATTTCAGAACGGTGCCACGCCCACTTTAACACCTAAACCGGTCTTAGAATTTTTGTAACAGTGATAATGTTTTGATAATCAATATCTATCTTCATACCAAAATATGTCCAAATCGGACTATTCATTAAAAAGTAATAAGCAAGTAAAGGAATCGACGCTAGATGGCACTGTTGCGGGGATATTTCCATCTCTGAGCTTAGTATCGGGTATCTGATAACCGGGGCTGTCGACTATAACGTTCTCTCTTGTTTTGAAATTTGTTTACTCCGCTATCAATACCTCATGTTAATAACAAAATAACAAGTGCGCGAGCATTACTAAAAAGTCGAACCTGCTTTTGACAAAGGCTTTGTTAAAATGAGGAAGAATAAGGTGCGACGACAATTTAGACGTTGTCATATATATAAATTGAAGAGATGAAGGTATGGGGTCTTCTATTGTTCTCGATGCTTCAAAACAAGTCATTACAGTGAAATAACAGGTAGCTTTACATACCAATAGGTTTTATTGTATTAAAAGGAACTAATTGGCTTGAAGACAGAATGAAAAATATAAAAGAAATTGTTCATTTAAAATGCCAATAGACATTTGGCATTTTTTAAAATATATAAAGTTATTATTAAGTCGCACAAGTATTAAGTAATTCGTCAAACGAATTGAAATTGAATATTTTTGATTTATTTTTACAACTTTTTAAAACCATTACTCGTAGAGTATAAGGTGGTACTAAATTTCAAACTAAATATGTAACACCTTAAAGTATATATATACTTTACGTGCCACGCCCTCTCTAACGTCCACACCATAACGCTAAACCCCGTCTAGCTGCCGCATTTTTTAATGTTTTGTACAAATTTTAATGAGATTTCTTTCGTATTATCAATACCCATCTACATGCCAAATATGATTTAAATCGGACTATTCGTTAAAATCGTTAGAACCAAACAAGAATAAATAATCAGCGAATTTAATGAGGGCGAGAGGGATGAAAATATAGTCATACAGCAAGTCCGTTGCTTAAAAAATTTCACTAGTGCCACCTAGGTATCACGTTATTTGGCGAGCTAGTGAAATCTCTTAAGCAGCCGATAGGCATGAACGATAGGTGGTGCTCTTTTTGTTTGCATACAGAATTTTAGACTTTCTTTTAATCATACAAATAACAGTTTGTTCTATTTAATGATTGCTTAAAAATATTTTGATACAAGCGAAATAATTAAGTACTGATACAATAAAATGTTCTATAGCAATTAAAATAATTAACTTTTTCTGCCCACTTGGAAGTTAGACAATTTTAATAGCAACAATTAGGGACCACTGTAGCACACAGTCAAGTGCAACACACGCACAAATTAAACCTAGTTGAGCTTCGAGTTTTGCCAACTGCCAGTGTGTGTTGGCGGGGGTGTTGGTGTGTGGGTGAGTTGTTGTGTCAGGGGGCGAGCGTGCATATGGACCATTATCGATACCGAAGGACATTATCGGCACACATGCACCAGCAGACAAAAGGCGGGAAGTTCTGTGGAGGACGAGGACGAGGGCATGGGCATGGGCATGGGCATGCATAAAACATGTTTTGGTCGGTTGGCTGCAAATTGAATCAATAATATCCAATCATGGGTTAACAATGCGAATTGATTTCTAGCAGCCATGCAGGAGCCGGAGTCCCCAGCCCAGCCCATCCGCACCCTCGTCCTCATCGCCATCATCGCCTCTGCAATCCCAAGCCCACTCTGGCAGGAGCCTCCAGGAAGAGCGACGCCTGCACATATGCAAACATGACGGCAGCAAACACAAGATAAGGCCACAACAGCAGCTTTCTCTGAGCCTTCGGCTTTCTTCCCCAAACGATGGAGGACCCATGTAAATATTAATTAAGTTTTGGCTTTTGTTGCATTAGGCTTCGGTTTTTGCAGCAAACCCAACAGCCTGCAGTTAAAGGCTCCCAGGTGCCGGTATCTATCATTCTATTAGCTTCAGTATTAGGTGGTTAGTTAGTTGCTCCTTTGTACTGTCGTCTTGGCTTAATCAAGTTAGCCGTACATGCCCTTTGTGTTTGCCAGGCCATTTAATTAGTTCAAAGAGTCGTGTTTGATTTGACACTAATTCGGTGTGTACTTCGTTCAAAGGACAATATTTGCTCTAGCTGAAAGGGCCAGAAATATACTCCTCGCAGTCCATTAATTTTCATTCGATCTGAGATCTCGTTTTCAATTGCCAGCTAAAATCGAAATAGCCCCGAATATTTATCTCAGTTGGGAAATTAAATTTTGTACAATTTGTGAAACTTTTCCAAATGGTGTCGCCAACTGCCGCGAACCGAGCTCAGCCAAACTTTTACCATTTCCATTATAAGTTTTACTGTTGCACCCACCACAAACCAGAAGCCCACCCACCCAAAGGGAGCAACCTCAATCCCAGCTTATGCGTTTATTTAATTTCGCTTGAACATCACGCATACGCCAGGGTGTTCACTGAGCTCCTATAATTGCCGTGTAATTGCCGGGAAGACTAACTGTCAGCTCCAATGACAACTTTAAGCTCTGAATGACTTACCGCTTAGAAATAGGCAATGGATTAGTAGAAAATACTTGTTTTGTTTGTAATTTACAACTTTTTAAAATGATATGTGCTTAAAACGAATAATTATTTTCGGTAAAGTTAAACCAGATATAACTATTATCTAATACTTTCAATTAAATTCACATTTTAAATTACCCTTTTATATATTTGTTGTAATAAATATTAAAATAATTTTTAGCTATTTAACAATATTTGGCTTATTAACATACTTAAGTTCTAATTTCGTCATGGGAGTTAGTTCCGTGGACTCCAATCGCAAACGATTAAGCCGCTCGTCAACGTGTATCTCATACAATTCAATATCTAGATTACGTTTCTTCCGCTGAAGCTTAAGAATTTTAAAAACCTTTTTAGATCAAACGACTTTTAGGTGGCTGTTGACAGTTGATGTTTTTTTTTGGGTAGAATCTTCCAGTGCAGAAATTCCGTGGGATTTGTGGTGTTCTGATCACGTTGTATGGGTAATACTCAACTTTCAGTTGAGGTATTTACTTCTGATCTGTAGGGCGTTTCCTTTTGGCACAGCTTTGATTATTTCGCAGATGAGAGGCAGACAAAAGATTGTTGATTCAAGTTCAAAGCTCTCTAACTGGATTTCTGAAGACAATCGAGTATATATTTGGTTTTATAGAGGCACTGAGGAAAATGTATATATTGGCTGAACATAATATTAGTTCCTGTACGTCTGCAGTTCGGCTTAAGTATCATAAGTTCGGATTAAAAGTTGGTATATTTAGGTACCCTACTCATGATAATTGGGTTAAAATCAGCGGCCAAATTAACCAGGGTTGTTCTTCTTATTCTGTAGTCTTTACCAAATAGACAACTGGACTACGTATATATCAGTGCTAGAATTGTCTGGCTAAATAAATTCAACTGACCAAATCAAAAATCAAATAGTCGATCTTAATTGCCACAGAAATCTATTTACATTTGAAGAACTATACATTTATTTTTAAAGATTTCCTAACTTGGAATTTCGCTTGAAATTAAAATACATATGTTCTCTTCCTCGTTTTATTTTTCCCTTGAAAACCATTGGACATACGATGAACTCGTGTTGATCGTGTAATTTTAGACATTAAAAGCAACATGGCTACGTTTCCAAAACAAAGACGTGGAAATCGGCCTGTCGGCGATGATCGATAGTTGAATTACCAAAATGAATTTTGTCGAAAGATGCAGGTGTGATCTCTCTGGCCTAGGCAAACTCGATGTCCGGCAGCGGCTCCTGCAGCATCTCATCCACGCCGTCGACGAAGATCATGACCAGGCCGAGGCTGGGACGCAGGTTCTCCGGCATGTGGGTATTGTCGCCGGCCAGGACAACCACACAGGGCTTGCCGGTGACCAGACCGGGAACCAGACGGGTCACATACTGGCTCATGCGATGGTGGTTCTCCCGGCGCGAGTCCAGGGTCATCAGACCCTCGGGCCAGCGATCCTCGTGGCAGCGGTCCACCATCTGGTTGAGCATGTGCATCGGACAGCCGCAGGAGCGCAGGACGTCGCGCACCATCAGGTGCATGGGCGTGTCCGGCGTGGAGATCAGGCTGCCCCAGGTGTGGACAGTGGCCAGCGGCAGGCCATTGCCCCACTGCATCAGCGAGA